GCCCTCTAGAGAGATGGCCATCCAGTCTCATACGATCCCAGAGTTGGAAGAGACCCCAAGGGCAAGCCACCCAGTCTCATACGATCCTAGATTGGGAAGAGACCCCAAGGGCCATCTAGTGCAACTCTCTGCCACGCAAGACACAATCAAATCCCTCTAGAGAGATGGCCATGCAGTCTAATACAATCCCAGAGTTGGAAGAGACTCCAAGGGCAATCCACCCAGTCTCATACGATCCTAGATTGGGAAGAGATCCCAAGGGCAATCCAGTCCAACTCTCTGCCACGCAAGACACAATCAAAGCCCTCCCGACAGTTGGCTATCTAGTCTCATGCAATCCCAGAGTTGGAAGAGTCCCCAAGGGCAATCCACCCAGTCTCATACGATCCTAGATTGGGAAGAGACCTCAAGGGCCATACAGTGCAACCCTCTGCCACGCAAGACACAATCAAAGCCCTCCTGACAGATGGCTATCTAGTCTCATACGATCCCAGAGTTGGAAGAGACCCCAAGGGCAATCCACCCAGTCTCATACGATCCTAGATTGGGAAGACACCCCAAGGGCCATCCAGTCCAACCCTCTGCCACGCAAGACACAATCAAAGCCCTCTAGAGAGATGGTCATGCAGTCTAATACGATCCCAGAGTTGGAAGAGACCCCAAGGGCAATCCACCCAGTGTCATACGATCCTAGATTGGGAAGTGACCCCAAGGGCAATCCAGTCCAACTCTCTGCCACGCAAGACACAACCAAAACCCTCCCGACAGATGGCCTTCCAGCCTCATACAAGAAAATAAAAAAGTCATATTTCAGTTTATATCTCTCCATTTCCTTTTGTTTCCTTTGTTTATCCTGCCTGGCCTCTACTCTGTTTTCATTCTGCATTGTTATCTCAAGAGGACCGTACCCGCTTATCAAGATCTGTGTTTATCTCAAGATAGTTTCCAAACGGCCATTTTACCTAAAGCTTACGGGCCAAGAAGCCCAATTATTATTATTATTATTATATTTAATAATATAATAATATTGGCAAGGGGAAGATATGGAGTATCTTATATATAATAATATATAATATATAATTATTACAATAATAATATAATATAATAATATATTAATATAATAATAAATATAATAATAATAATAATGGCCACCGACAGAACAGTTGTGTTGACGGAGCAAAGGGAAAAGACAATGTTGTTCCTGGAGAACCGCAACAGGAAAAGGAGGCAGGCTCTGGTCATTTCCTTCCTCCGTGGCCATTTGAAAGCCACGGACAGAGCACAATGGCTAACCAACCGCCCTATATGGCCCGTCCAGATATTTGCAAAACATTGGATTTTTCATTCCTGGGTCAGAAATGTCTTTTCCTAATTGGGTCTTATCATAAAAAAAAATGGGGAAAAGTTTATTAAACTGCCAAAACTTTGCCAATTTTTTTGTCCCCCAAATGTTGTTACATAGTGGAATTTAATGCAGTTTCAAAGTGTTTTTGTTGTGCAGACGATGACATAGGAAAACCATGGAGGCCTGGATGGTGATGATAACAAGCCACATAGCTCTTTAGGGTTAGGCTTCCTTAGGGTTCGCTTTCGGGGGCATTTTAAGCTTCTGAGTGTGTTTTTGACTGTGAATTTTTAATATTGTCGTGTTTAATGCTGTTTTAATGTTTGCATATATGTATATTTTTATGGTATGGTCATACTTTAATGCCAGCTGCTTTGAGTCTCCTTCGGGAGAGATAAATTAGGGTATAAACATATTATTATTATTATTATTGTTGTTGTTGTTATTATTATTATTATTATTATTATTATTATTATTATCTGAAAAACAACAAGATGAGTCCGCAGCAGACAGTCTGCTGGTTGTTGAATTGCTATTATTATTATTATTATTATTATTATTATTATTATTATTATTATTATTATTATTTAATGGAAGTCGCTTTGAATATCCTTTGATAAAGTGGGACATAAGTATATATAATAACATAAATATTATTATTATTATTTAATGGAAGCTGCTTTGAGTCTCCTTTGGAAGAGATAAAGTGGAGTATAAATAAATATAATAATATAATTGAATAATAATCATAATAATTTAGAGTAAGCAGCTTTGAGTCCCCTTTGGGAGATATAAAATGGGGTATAGATAAACATAATAATATAATTGAATAATAATAATAATTCAATGTAAGCAGCTTTGAGTCTCCTTTGATAAAGTAGGATATACGTATATATAATAATATAAATAAATAAATAAATAAATAATAATAATTATTATTATTATTAAATGGAAGCCGCTTTGAGTATCCTTTGGGAGAGATAAAGTAGGGTATAAATAAATAGAACAATATAATTGAATAATAATAATAATTTAATGTAAGCAGCTTTGAGTCTCCTTTGGAAGAGACAAAGTGGGGTATAAATATATTATTATTATTATTATTATTATTATTATTATTATTATTATTATTTAATGTAAGCCGCTTTGAATATCCTTTGAGAGAGATAAAGTGGGGTATAAATAAATATAATAATATAACTGAATAATAATAATAATTTAAGGTAAGAAGCTTTGAGTCTCCTTTGATAAAGTTGGATATAAGTATATATAATAACATAAATAAATATTATTATTATTTTTAATGGAAGCCGCTTTGAGTCTCCTTTGGGAGAAATAAAGTGGGGTATAAATAAATATAATTGAATAATAATAATAATAATAATAATAACAACAACAACAACAACACCAATTTAATGTAAGCAGCTTTGAGTCTCCTTCAATAAAGTGGGGTATAAATATATTATTATTATTATTATTATTATTATTATTATTTAATGTAAGCCGCTTTGAGTATCCTTTGGGAAATATAAAGTGGGGTATAAATAAATATAATAATATAATTGAATAATAATAATAATTTAATGTAAGCAGCTTTGAGTCTCCTTTGATAAAGTGGGGTATAAGTAAATATAATAATATAAATAACTAAATGTTATTATTATTTAATGGAAGCCGCTTTGAGTCTCCTTTGAGAGAGAGATAAAGTGGGGTATAAATAATAATAATAATACTTTAATGTAAGCCATTTTGAGCCTCCTTTGTGTGAGTGAAAGTGGGATATAAATAAATATAATAATAATACTTTAATGTAAGCTGCTTCAGGAGAGATAAAGTGGGGTATAAATAATAATAATAATAATAATTATTATTATTATTATTATCTGTGAGAGATAAGTGAGGTTTAAATAAATATAATCATCATCATCCCCATCATCATCAGCATCATCACCTAATGTAAGCTACTTTGAGCCTCCTTCAGGAGAGATAAAGCAAGGTATAAATAATAATAATAATAATAATAATAATAATAATAATAATAATAATTTAATGTAAGCTGCTTTGAGTCGACTTTGGGAAATATAAAGCAGGATATAACAACAACAACAACAACAACAACAACAACAACAACAATAAAAGATAGAACTGCAAAGACTCTGGCACAAGGCAGTCAAGGTGGTCCCAGTGGTGATCGGCACACTGGGTGCAGTGCCTAAAGACCTTGGCCTGCACTTAAAACAATCAGCACTGACAAAATTACCATTTGTCAGCTGCAAAGGGCCACCCTACTGGGATCTGCATGCATTATTCACACAGACCTAGGCACTTGGGAAGGGTCCAACGTGCGATCCAATACAAAAGCCAGCATAGTGGCCTTGCTTGCTGAGTGCTAATCGTGTTATGTATCAAATAATAATAATAATAATAATAATAATAATAATAATAATAATAATTTGTTATGTAGCTAGCTTCAAACTGCATTAAATGGCCAGTGTAGAATCCTAGAATTGGGAGAGCCATCCGGTCCAAAGTATAATAATAATAATAATAATAACAACAACAACAACAACAACAACAACAACAACAACAACAACAACACAAAATAATCATAAAGTTGGAAGGGACCCCCAAAGGCCATCCAGACTAACCCAGTTCTGCTGTCCTGATAACCATCCTGCTGCATCCAAAATATAATAATAGTAATAATAATAATAATAATAATAATAAATAATCATAAAGTTGGAAGGGACCCCCAAAGGCCATGCAGACCAACCCAGTCCTGCTGTCCTGATAGCCATCCTGCTGCATCCAAAATATTATTATTATTATTATTATTATAACACAAAACAATCATAACGTTGGAAGGGACCCCCAAAGGCCATCCAGACCAACCCAGTTCTGCCGTCCTGATAGCCATCCTGCTGCATCCAAAGTATAATAATAATAATAATAATAATAATAATAATAATAATAATAATGTTGATGTATCGTCGAAGGCTTTCATGGCTGGAATCACTGGGTTGTTGTAGGTTTTTCAGGCTGTCTGGCCATGTTCTAGAGGCATTCTCCCCTGACGTTTCACCTGCATCTATGGCAGGCATCCCCAGAGGTTGTCAGGACCTCACAACCTCTGAGGATGTCTGCCACAGAGGCAGGCGAAACGTCAGGAGAGAATGCTTCTAGAACATGGCCATACAGCCAAAAAAACTTACAACAACTCAATAATCATAGAATCATAGAGTTGGAAGAGACCTCGTGGACCATCCAGTCCAACCCCCTGCCAAGAAGCAGGAAAATCGCATTCAAAGCACCCCCGACAGATGGACATCCAGCCTCTGTTTAAAAGCTTCCAAAGAAGGAGCCTCCACCACAGTCCGGGGCAGAGAGTTCCACTGCTGAACAGCTCTCACAGTCAGGAAGTTCTTCCTCATGTTCAGGTGGAATCTCCTTTCTTGTAGTTTATAATAATAATAATAATAATAATAATAATAATAATAATAATAATAATTTGTTATGTAGCTAGCTTCAAACTGCATTAAATGGCCAGTGTAGAATCCTAGAGTTGGGAGAGCCATCTGGTCCAGAAAGACACAATCAAAGCACTCCCAACAGATGGCCATCCAGCCACAAAGACTCATGCCAGAATACCACTTACCGTTGTTGGACTTGAGGTCGCGGTGGATGACGGGCACGATGGCCCCGCAATGGAGGTACTGCATCCCCTGGGCAACCTGGACGGCCCAGTTGATGAGGATGTGTGGGGGGATCCTGCGGCCGGCCAGCATCCGGTTCAGCGGACCCCCGGCCGCGTACTCCATCACGAGGCACAGATTCGGCTCCTGGAGGCAGACGGCTTTGAGGGCGATGATGTTGCGGTGCTGCAGCATGGCGAAGAGCCTCGCCTCTTGCTGCACCCGCTCGGCCGTGGTGCCGATGTCCTCGTCCGGGTCCTGGCGGGCCGCCTTGACCGCCACCAGCTCCCCGCACCATGTGCCCCGATAGACCTTGCCGAAGCCCCCGACCCCGATGACCTCCTCCAGCCTCAGGTCGCGGAAGTCGGCCTCGGGCGGCCCCTCGGGCCCCACGTAGCCCCCCGTCTTGGGCGAGACGTAGTTGGAAGGGAAGATGCCCACTTTGTCGTTGACCTTGCCGGCCCACCAGCCCTCGTCTCCAGAGATGGCCGCATCCCACGACAGCACCTCCACCAGGTCGCCTTTCCGCAGGGTCAGCTCGTCACTGCTGGCCGCTTCGTAGTCAAAGAGCGCCGTCCAGACCGGGTTGGCGTAGGCCACGGGACTGCCGCTACGGAGGCTGGAGCCCCAGGTGGCCGGCGTCGCCTTCCGGAACATGTTCTTCAAGGGCTCCATGGCGTTGCCGGAACCTCATCTCATGCCCACAACTAGGTCGCCAACATCACCTTAGGCGGGACATCTTCCCTCTCGCGATGTGGGGTCATTGGGAGGTAGACCTGAAAGGCAAATGGGGACAAAGTTATGCCTTATTTACTTATCTACGACATTTATAGGCACAGCACAATATTAGTACAATACATTCCAATATTGTACGATACCACTAGACTATAATAATATTATTAGTAATAATACATGTAATATAAATACTAGTACCATACATTCCATACCACTACACTAAAATATTATTAGTAATAATGCATGTAATATAAATATTAGTACCATATATTCCAATATTGTACTATACCACTCTAATATAATATTATTAGTAATAATACATGTAATATAAATATTAGTACCATACATTCCATACCACTACACTAGAATATTATTAGTAATAATACATGTAATATACATTTTAGTACTATACATTCCAATATTGTACTACACCACTATACTATAATATGATATGTAATATAAATATTACTACCATACATTCCAATATTGTACTATACCACTATACTGTAATAATATTATTAGTAATAATACATTCAATATAAATACTAGTACCATACATTCCATACCACTACACTAGATATTATTAGTAATAATACATGCAATATAAATATTAGTACTATACATTCCAATATTGTACTATACCACTATAATATAGTATTATTAATAATAATACATGTAATATAAATATTAGTACCATACATTCCAATATGGTACTATTCCACTATACTATAATATTATTAATAATACATGTAATATAAATATTAGTACATGTAATATAAATATTAGTACCATACATTCCAATATTGTACTATACCACTATACTATAATAATATTAGTAATAATACATTTAATATAAATATTAGTACCATACATTCCAATACTGTACTATACTATAATATTATTAGTAATAATACATGTAATATAAATATTAGTACCATACACTCCAATATTGTACTATATCACTATAATATAACATTATTAGTAATAATACATGCAATATAAATATTAGTACCATATATTCCAACATTGTACTATACCACTATACTAGAACATTATTAGTAATAATACAGGTATTATAAAATCTATATTTATTATATTGTATTATTAGTAGTATTATATCGTATTGGATTGCAACATTATTATCAATATAATATGTGTATACAAAATATTATATTATCAGCACAGAACTATATTAGCATTATATATTACTACACTGTACTATACTACTATATTATAATATTATTAGTAATACTACATGTAATATAAAATATATAATTATTATATATTAGTATTATTAGCAATATATTGTATTGCAATATAACATTATTATCCATATGATATGTGTATACAATATATTATATTATTAGCACAGTACTATATTAATATATAATATTAGTATTAGTATTACATATTAATATACTGTAATATACCATACTACTATAGTTGTATTATTACTAATAATATTATACTATATATTATACTATAATATTATTAGTAATAATACATATAATACATATATTTATTATATTGTATTATTAGTAGTATTATATTATATTGCATTAGAACATTATTATCAATATGATATGTGTATACAATATATTATACTATTAGCACAACACAATATTAGTATTATATATTACTATACTGCACTATACCACTATACTATAACACTATTAGTAATATTACCTGTAATATAATATATATATTTATTTATTATATTGTATTATTAGTAGTATTATACTGTATTGGATTGCAACATTATTATCAATATATGTGTATACAATATATTATACTATTAGCACAGCACAATATTAGTATCATATATTACTATATTGTACTATACCACTGTACTGTAATATTATTAGTAATATTACATGTCATATAAAATATATAATTCTTATATTGTACTATTATTATTATAATATTGTATATAAATAAAAATGTAACATTAGTTTGCGAGATTAACGCAAGGAGGCATATCTATATAAATAATGATAATAGTGATAATAATATAGTGTTAATGAAATAATATTAATATAGTGTTAATAATCATTATAATATAGTGATAATAGAATATAATATAGTTAATAAAAATATAGTGATAATAACAATATAGTGTTAATCATAATAATAATAATATAGTAATAATATAGTATTAATAATAGTAATAACATGTTAATAATAACAATATAGTGTTAATAATAATAATATAGCAATAATATGTTAATAATAATATAGTGTTAATAATAATTTAGTGATAATAACAATATCGCGTTAATAATAATAGAGTAATAATAATAATATAATAATAGTGATAATATAGTTAATAATAATATCCTTCGGGAGAGATAAAGCGGGGTACCAATAAATCTAATAATAATAATAACAACAACAACAACAATAATAATACTTTCATGTAAGCCACTTTGAGACTCCTTCAGGAGAGATAAAGTGAAGTATAAATAAATCTAATAATAATAATAACAATAATAATACTTTCATGTAAGCCACTTTGAGACTCCTTCGGGAGAGATAAAGTACAAATAAATCTAATAATAATAATAATAACAATAATAATATCATGTAAGCCACTTTGAGACTCCTTCGGGAGAGACAAAGTACAAATAAATCTAATAATAATAATAATACTAATAACAGTAATAATACTTTCATGTAAGCCACTTTGAGACTCCTTCGGGAGAGATAAAGTGAAGTATAAATAAATCTAATAATAATAATAATAACAATAATAATAATATCATGTATGCCACTTTGAGTCTCCTTTGGGAGAGATATAGTGAGGTATATAATAATAATAATAATAATAATAATAATAATAATACGAATAATATATAATAGTATATAATAATAATAATAATACGAATAATAATACAAATATAGTGAGGTATATAATAATAATAATACGAATAAGCCGCTTTGAGTCTCTTCCGGATGAGATAAAATGGTATATAAAATGGTATATAAATAAATCTAATAATAATAATAATAATTTCATGTAAACCGCTTTGAGTCTTCTTTGGGAGAGATAATAATAACACTAATAATAGTATAGAGGTACGATCAGCCTCTTCACTGATGGTGTTTAGGAAGAGACTAAAAACATGGCTGTTCAAACTAGCATTCGGCTAATCTGTGGCAATCGATTCTTGGTGACTATGGACAGAAAATATGGACAACGATCTCTGGACTGTGATTTCAACTCGAGACATATGGGATTATTATAGGTGGCCCAATAATTTGTTATTGTATGTGTATATGTTTTAAATTGGAGATTGTTTTTAATTTGCTGTAAACCGCAATTGAGTCGCCGATCCAGGCTGAGAAATTAGCGATATACAAGTGTACCAAATAATAAATAAATAAATATTAATAATATGTTCATAATATGTTAATAATAATAACAGTAATAATAACATGTTAATAATAATATAGTAATAACAATATAAGTGATAACATAGTTAATAATAATATCATTCGGGAGAGATAAAGCGGGGTATAAATACATCTAATAATAATAATAATAATAATAATGTTATTATTATTATTATATATTATTATTATTATAGCATAGTGTTAAATAATAATGCAGTGTTAATAATAATAAGAAGAATAGAAATAGGAATAAGAATAAGCCGCTTTGAGTCTCTTCCGGATGAGATAAAATGGTATATAAATAAATCTAATAATAGTAATAATAATAATAATAATAATAATAATAATTTCATGTAAACCGCTTTGAGTCTTCTTTGGGAGAGATAATAATAATAGTAATAATAATAGTAATAATAACATGTTAACAATAATATAGTAATAACAATATAAGTGATAACATAGTTAATAATAATATCCTTCGGGAGAGGTAAAGCGGGGTATAAATACATCTAATAATAATAATAATAATAATGTTATTATTATATTATTATTATTATTATTATTATTATACCATAGTGTTAAAGTAATAATGCAGTGTTAATAATATAGTGTTAAAATACATCTAATAATAACAACAACAACAATAATAATAATATTGTTATTATTATATTATAATATATTATCATTATCATTATCATTATTATCATTATACCACAGTGTTAAAGTAATAATGCAGTGTTGATAATATAGTGTTAATAATAATATAATATAGTAATAATATTGGTAAAAGTCCCAAAAAGTCCAAAACACCTGGAGGGCCTCTGCCTGGGCTAAAGTGTCTCCAGAGATATTTTCCCACGACTGGACCTCCCCAAAGAGTCTCCTCCAAAGTAAATAGGAGAGCTCCTGTTTCCGCTTGTCCCTGGGGGTTACTCTTCCCCTTCCCTCCAAAGCCCCCAAACTTCCTAAGTTGGGGTTCTTGCCTGTCAAAGTCCTCTAAGAACTTCTTTGAGTTGCTGGACTTGCTGATGGAAAGGTCCTCCTTGGTTCAGAGTCTTCCTCCTTGGTTCAGTCTTCCTCTCCTCTTCCTGGGGTGCCTAAAAGGAAGTGAAGACAAAAGGGAAACAGACCCAGGCAACTTCTTGGGATCTCTTTTGGGGGAGGGTGGATCTCTTCCTCCTCTTGCCAGACTGAGCAGGAAGGGCAAGGGAGGGCTCTGGATCCCTCGGACCGCCCTAGAGAAGGCGGATCTCTTTGGATCTCTCCTCTTTTCCACGCCTGCCTTCCTGCTTGGGAGGAACAAAAGAGTGGCCCAGCCCCAAAAAAGAGAGATTGCACATAGCAAAGTTTAGGATCACTCCTTCCTTCCTTCCTTCCTTCCCTTCCCTCCCTCTTTCCTTCCTTTTCCTTGTCCCTCTCCTTCCATTATATCACTTCCAGTTTTTATTTAATTATGTCTAACTATAATTGTCAATCTTAAAATTCCTTCTTCATTCAATTCATACTTACTTTTACTTATGTCACGCTCCTTAAAATCCATCTTCCATTCATCTTTTACTATAGCAAATATCTCTCACTTACTGCATTCTCATTCTGTTTTTATCCCTCATTTTTTCTTTACTTATGTCTATCTACTTCAGTCATTTGACTT